ACTCGCGTGGATGGGATGTTCAACCCCGTCACTCCGTCGCGGTGGCATGGGCGGTATGGGCCACTGCTCCGTCGGAGCTGTCTTTGAGTTACTCCGGAGCACACGCCTGGACACCGGAGGGACGGTATTGCGCCTAAACGATTTTTTAACTCCCTGCGCCATTACAACGGTCACTCGGAGGGCTAATCGGAGATGGATTGCCGGAGATGCTAGATGGACTACGTCCAGATGTGGATCCCAAATTTTTTTTTAATTTAAATGTTGGGGTGTCGATAAATTATACATTTGGTTTTACTTCGGTTTATGATATTGGACTTTGGTTAATGATTTTGTGTCATCGGTTTACCACATTGGATTTTACCAGAAATTTTTAGTTATTTTAGTTCGACAATGGCAATTTTGAAAATAAAAAATTGCCTTAGGGGCCTAGCGGGAAGACAAACAGTAAAAACAACCATTTCCTTCCTTGGTTTTCAAAACTACACATTCCTCTAATTTAAAACTTAAAAACTACCCATACAGCAATTTTCTCCTCAAAGAAACTGTTTATATGCATCAACCGTCTGGTTTTTGGGATCGAACCAAGCCTGATCATGTTTGCCTTCTCCATCGCTCTCTCTATCTTTTGAAGCAGGCCCCTCATGCCTGGTATAATCGTTTTGCCACTTATGCACGTCGTGTCGGTTTTATTCAAAGCATTTCAGATTCATCTCTTTTTGTGATGTCTCGTGGCAGGTATATCGAATATATGCTTCTCTACGTTGATGACATTGCACTCACTGCTTCCTCCAAATCCCTCCTCAACTCAATTATCGCGTCTCTCCACTCTGAATTTGAGATGATTGACCTTGGAATGCTTCATTTTTTTTCTTGGAATCTCGGTGCACCCCAATGATTGTGGACTATTTCTTCACCAACAAAACTATGCCGCTAACATACTTCACTGGTCCAATATGACAAATTGCAATCCGTGTCACACTCCGGTTGACACCAAACCAAAACTTGCGGCTGTTGACAGCCCTCCTGTTGCAGATCATACCCTCTACCGTAGCTTGGCTGGTGCTCTCATTATATTACTTTCACTAGACCGGATATCTCCTATGCCGTTCAACAAGTGTGTATCTTTATGCATGATCCCCACGAAGCTCATCTTCAAGCTCTCAAACACATACTTTGATATGTTAAGGGAAGAATTTCTCTGGGGTTGCAGATGTACAAATCCTCCACACCAAGTCTTGTTGCTTACTCCGACGCCGATTGGGCTGGTTGTCCCTATACTTGTCGTTTCGGCTTTTGCGTTTTTAATGGCAACAATCTCATTTCTTGGTCTTCAAAGGGACAACATACCGTTTCTCGTTCCAGTGCTGAGACTGAATATAGAGGCGCCGCTAAGGCTGTTTCGAAACTCTCCTGGCTTCGCACTCTTTACCTTGAAATGCATCTTCCTTTACACAAGGCGTTTGTCGTGTTTTGTGACAACGTCAGCGCTGTATACCTCTCCTCCAACCCGGTTCAGCACCAGCTTACCAAACATGTTGAAATTGACATTAATTTTGTCCGTGAATGTGTCACTCTTGGCAACGTCAAGGTTCTCCATGTTCCCTCTTCTCACCAGTATGCTGATATCTTCACCAAAGGTCTTTCTACGCCTTTGTTTATGGAGTTTCGTTCTAGTCTGAGCATCCGCCAGCCTCCTGCTTCGACTACGGGGGTGTTCGACTGACTCTTTAACTAGCACTGATTACAATTACAATCAAATCTTTGACTAGCATTGATTATCCATTCTCTCTTGTAATTGTATATGTACTTAATGAGATCCTCTCCTCTCACGGAGATTCATCAAATTACAATTAGGTCTGAGATTATAAACGAAAACAAAAGTGTTCAAAAAGGAACGAAATTTCCCTGAGAGAAGTTTTTTACTTATTTTAGCCTGTTCATCGTGATACGACTAGGAAAAAAAAGATTCAATGTCTTTTAGCTCTAAGAACCAGACACCTTCAAAAAATTTATTAAGGCAGGGATGACTCATATAAACAAAAACGGCGAAATACATGCTCATATTCATATTTCCATCAAGATCAAAATGGTGATGATTCAAGGATTTACTGCACAGGCTGTTAGTTATATTGGTTCTTCTTTTTCTTTCTTTGCAATATCCAGCTTTGCACGTCTTGCAGTTTGCTCTTGCGCAGAAGTTTTCGCTGTAGCATCTTCCTCACGGATGCAATCCTTTTTAGCCTTTCTTTAACATCCATCGCAGATTCTTCCTCAGTCGTTTCAGACCCAGCTGCTTCATGTACAACATCCGGTTTGCTGTTTGCTTGTTGTTCTTGAGATTCTTTTACCTCCTTCTGTTTATCCTTCTTTTTCTTCTTTTTTGATGCCTTTGACTCCCCACCTTCTGCATTATCTTTCTTCTATCCCTCTCCACTGAGCTCTTCTTTCTTCTTTTGTTTAGCCTCTCTTAAACAACATGCAAATTTTTTTTGTCAGATTAAACTTCTATCAGTATTAGCAAAAACCTACACAGATCAAAATTTGGGTTAGAAATGCTAAACTTCTATCAGTATTAGCAAAAACCTACCTAAATTTGTCATTACTTATCTTAGTCATTTTCTTTCAATTTACCTTATTTCATATTTGCCTCTTCAAAAGGGACATCGTTTGAGAATACAACAATTGAAAAAAAAAAAAATATAAACACTATAAGAAAATATGCTGATTCTTACAAATTTTCCTACTAACATTTTGGAAGGAAATTTTTTTAGGGTTGTTTTGAAAATAAGGACGTTTTTAAGTTTTAATTTGAGAAAAGGTTAGTTTTATGTTTTAATTAGTCAGGGTAGGGACATACTTTCATAATGCCAAACTTACCCTTGTTTCTGAGAAAGAGAGAGACAGAGAAGTCTGTCCTTTAGAGAGATACAGACCCAGAAAATACCGTGGATCCCAGGAGTAGTCTGTGTCCGCGCGCGTAACAGCCGGGAAGAGAGCAACTCATGCACGTGATTGGGTCGTTTTTTGTGCCTGGTTTGAATTTCGGAATGAAATTTCCAAAAACCACCTTACTGTGCCTCGGTTATGGGCCGGACACTATCCAACTCATTAGACGCAAAACTACCCTTCCCATTCTCTTTTATTTTTGGCGAGAAAAATTGTTAATTAGAGATAATGAAGATAAATTGGTTAAAATAAGAAATAAAGTACCCTAACCAAATTAGAAACCTTAGTTTCCCTTTCCAGAAGATGTTGAAATTGAAGGAGAAATTATGTGATGATCAAGAGGACAACAACAACGGTTAGTTACTTAATCCTATTATTGTACACCCATAGATTTGTCATTGTTATTTTCGAATTTTTTCGTTCTGGTGTTCGCTATTTGCCAGTAGTTTTTTAGATATGGTGTTCGCGATTTGCAGTGGATGCGTTCATTCTCATCCATGTGTGATAGTTACTCCTCGAAAGTACAAATTCTTCCTTTCGCTGCATAAGTCTGATAAGTCTATGAATTTATTTGTCACATTCAATGAGTCAGTAAATGGTAAAATGGTGAGATTGAAACGGAAGGAAAGTCTTGAAGTTCAAATTACTAGGGAACGGCGAAAGTCCTTAGGGACAACAAACTTCATAGCCTCTTCTTCGGCAGAGTCTAGTCAACCCGATGATGAAGCAGATGATGAAGATATCGATGATTGTTTGCTGATAGCACATGCCGTGAAAGTAGAGGCAGAGGCCGCAATGAACACCTCCAAAGGTGTACAACCTGAAGCTGTCTCTGTTATCCATCCTGCGTTGGGATTAAAAATGTCCCAGGAATCAGAGAAAGTAGAGGCTAAGGCCACCACTAACACCTCCGTTAATGTAAAACCTGATGTTCCAAATCACGCTATCTCTGTTGACCACCCTGTGTTGGAATTAAAAATGTCCCAGGAATCAGATGAGGCGAGAGATTCGGAAGAGAAGGAAGCTGATGATGTTGACGATGACGCATACGGCTCTGATGATGATTATGATCCGGATTATAATTTTGACTGGTGGAATGATTACGTACTAGCAGATGGTAAGGGTTTCCATTCTAAACCTGGATTTGAAGAGGATAAGGATGACTCTGGTAGTTCAGGGGGTTGTGGACGTAGTCGCGGAAGTGAGCCGAGTGATTCAAACCATATGGACTACTCCATTGTCTTAACGGAGAGTCCTATTCATTTTCCTGGAAGAAAGAGGACTGTATGTGAGAAGGTTCTGGCTCCCCATGGAGATGATGATGATTTTGTGGAGACTCCGACAGGTGATGTCGTTTGGGGGCGTCAGAATGGCGGTGCAGATCTGAAGAAAGCGATTAAACGTACAGACCTATATGGATTTCCGGATGTGGCACCAGTCTCTGATGATATGGAACGGGATTTCGATGAACTTGATTTGTCAAATGAAGATGGAGAGATATGGGTTGGGAAAAAGTTCAGGAACAAGGAACACTTTAAAATCATGTTGGCCATCAATGCGCTGAAGAATGTAGTGACGTTCGAATTCAAAAAGCATGCGAAGAAGTACACAGTCACTGAATGTCCAGCAAAGATATGTGATTGGAGGGTGTTGAGGTGTCAAGTTGGCGACTCTGCGTTGTATGAGGTGAGAAAGGCGTGCTTGAAGCATACATGCCACCTGGATACAAGAAAGAAATTTTCTAAGCATGCGACTTCTAAAGTCATGGCGGCTCTACTGAAGTCTAAGTACGAAAATGCAATAGTTGGTCCACGTGCGAGTGAGCTACCTGTGATTGTTCTCTCCGAATATAATATTACAGCCTCGTACTGGAAATGCTGGAAAGCTAAGGAGCTGGCTATATACTCTGCTCACGGAACAGAGGAGAATTCTTTCAAATTATTACCGATTTACCTCCATGTGCTCAAGTATGCTAACCCCGGCACCATAACGCATTGTCAACCGAGAGAGATGAAATAGATGGAAAATGTATGAACAGGTTTAAGTCCGTATTTATGGCATTGGCTGCGTGTATATCTGGATGGAAACATTTGAAACCGGTAGTTGTTGTTGATGGGACTCACCTGACTGGTAAGTATAAGGGTTGTCTATTAACGGCAAGTAGACAAGATTCTAATTACCAGGTTTTTCCAATAGCGTTCGCCGTTGTCGATGCAGAGTCTGACCAGACATGGAGGTGGTTCTTTGAGAAGTTGGTAGACATTATTCCAGATTCCTCTGATCTTACTATTATCTCGGATAGGCACGGTGGAATTGCCAAAGCTAAAAAGAAATGGTATCCACAGTCACACCACGGTGCATGTCTTGTCCATATCTAGAGAAATGTTCACGGTAAATACAAAGGTTCCGGTCAGAAAGGATTGGTCGGAAAGTCTGGAGAAGCGTTCACAGTTTCTAATTTCAAGAAACTATACGCAAGGCTGAAGGATGTTGATTATCGTTGTTGGGAGTACATGGAAAAAATCCCTCTTGCGCTCTGGACTAGATCACACTTTACTGGTAAGAGGTATAATATGACCTCCAGTAACATTGCGGAGTCTCTGAACAATGCACTATTTGCAGCAAGAGACAGTCCAATCGTTGCAATGCTAGAATTTATCAGGCGAATGTTAAGTAGGTGGCTTGAATGCAGAAGAGAGAAAATTCAAAAGATGGATGGTGACGTTCCAGAAGAAGTTGACAAGTTAATGAACCTGCAGCTTGAAAAATCTGCTGCACTATCGGTTCAAGGCATTTCTTTGTGGGAGGTTGAAGTCAGTTCTGAGTTAGGTGTACGGCGGCATGTTGATCTCCTAAACAAAACATGCTCATGTCTAGAGTTTCAGACATTGAAATACCCTTGCCGACATGCAATGGCCGCGGCTAGGCTTCGTCAAGTGGAGTACAGCAATTTGGTTGATCCAATTCTTAAGAAATCAATTTGGAGTGCAACAGTTAGTGGCAAAATCCTACCAGTGCCCGACCCTGACGACATTCGTATCCCAGCTGAGGTGCGCATTATGGCTTATGTATAATTTTACATTATATGGTGTACGCATATAAATATAGGTGTATGCACATTACGGCGTATGTTTAGGGTTTAGGGTTTAGGGCTTAGGGTTTACGATGTAGGGTTTAGGATTTTTCTTATTTAGGGGATCAAAATAATTTACAAAGACATGGTTCTAGATCAAAATAATTATCAAAGATATGGTTATGAGAAAGAAAACATTATCTATAAAACGGACAATGATCGTGCCTTTGAAATGAAATTGTAGGACAGGACAGCACAAATAAACGGTTTTTTCAAAAATCAAGTCATTACGTTTTTGAAAACCGCAATAATGGAAAACAGTGTTTGAGGAATAAACGCGACCCAAAAAATCAAATGGGAAACGACAAAACTAATTAAGTACTTTTTTAGAAACTCGTTGCACCGTCTGACCGACTCATTTTGCTCTCTTTACTTTAAAATGTTTTTCCTGTCGTCCTCTATAAAAACTGTCCCCTGCCTTCTTCAGTGAAACAAGTTTCCGGAGGCAGCAAAAGTTAATTACAGCAAAAGTTAATTACACACAATTAATAGTTAATTTCTAAAAATGTACTCTGCCAAAGTGATCTCATTGCAATTGAAGGAAGTGGAAAGGAAAAACAGTCCATGTTTCAGTACAGGTATTTGATGGTTATTTTGAAAATAGGGGAGTTTTTTAGTTTTCGCTTTTGAGGATCGGTCTTTTACATCGTCTACCTAATTATTGTTTTGCCGATTTCATTAGGACCTGTTGGTGAGGACTTGTATCACTGGGAAGCTATCATAACAGGGCTTAAAGGTTCATCCTATGAGAATGGTGTTTTCAAACTATCCGCTTGACTACCCTTTCGCGCCACCGAGGGTAAGGAATGAAGCATATGATTGCTTTCTCAAATTTCTGTATTTTTAGGGTTTGGGATTTAGTCAATAAAGATTTCAATCACTAATAACACTGTTTTTGCAGGTGACGTTCAAAACAAAAGTGTATCACCCAAACGTTACTATTTTTGGGAACATTTATCTTAAGATGTTGAACCCAACTCACTTCAAGACCAACAACAGCATCAATGATGTATTTTTACTTATGAAAGAAATAAATCGTTATTGTCTTTTGCTTAATAATCTTAATTTCGATTAAATCAGGGCTTAACTGTGTATACATGTCTATGTAATCAGGTAATCACTGAAATACACCAAATGTTAACTGCCCCCTAAATAAGTGAAGGACACTTTTTTGTTGAAGAAATTGCAAGGATTTACGTTGAAGACGGGGCAGCTTTTGACACCACTGCACTTGCATGGACGGTGGAGCACGCCGGAGGCGCATGAAGTCGTGAATTGTTCAATTTATTTTGTTTGTTGAATTGTGTTATTTCTTTTTCAAAAAATAAGACCACTATTTTGTTAGCGTGTTTTTCTTGCGAAGTTTATGACTTTACATAAATTTTTTTATATCAATTTATGCTTTTTATGTTTAGGATTTCATAAATTGTCCAAGCATTTGTTAGTTTCGTCATTAATTACGTAAATATGTATCTGATATGAAACATAAGTCATCGAATATTAATTCAAAGATTCTTCGTTACATACTACAAATGAAATATAGGTGTACACTTCATATAGTCTACACATACTCGTGTACACTTGAGAAGGTGTACACCATAAACTTATTTTTAAAGCATTTCGCAGATACGCCTAGCACACCAATATATGAAGCAACCATTGCAAATTACTCGGATCTCAGGTTCAAAATGATCAAATGCACAATCAGGCAGCTTGATGACGTTGTCATTTGGATATGAAAATAAGTTGAAGTACGTATCCATATATGCAGTTCCGTAATATGAAATCTCAAGAATTAACTCCTCACCTAATTGTCGCACGCCTCTGACTGTAAACTTCCGTGATGCGTTGCCAACAGTTGCAATGTTTGGCTTGCGGAACAAGGGTCACCCAAGCAAACGCTGAACATGGCCGACGCCAGGGTCGAGAGAGCGTCGGTGGGAAATTTTGGTTCCAGCATGCTCCTACTTGCAATGAGATCTGCGCCTCGGGTTGCAAGTCTCAGGGCTTCCCAGTATCTTGCCTCAGGGTTTCCACTCGCCAAACATTTCAGAAAGAATGGGCGTCTTTCCTTTCCAGGGCATATGTCGCTGGGGATACAGCAAAGGGCATAAATGTTGCAAGATTTGAGGACATCGTCGTTGAAAACAAGCCGGAGGGTGCGCTTTCCAGCGCGGACAAATGGTCTGAGTCGCCAAAATGCTTCACTGCCGAGCCTCTGGAGGATTTCGATAAGAATTTCATCAGGCAAGTCTGGGAGCGTCATGTTCGGTTTAGGGTTTGTTATGTTTGGTTTAGGGTTTGTTTTCGTTGGAAATGAAGCAAATTTAGTTAAGACAAAGCAAAATCATCATATATGGACTTCACTGCTGTGTGGTTGGGGGGTGAAGAATTTATTATACGGTTGAAAATAATATAATAGTGTTCTGCCTTTTAGCAAATATTTCACCTAACCATTTTCTACCCACCATTTTTAAAGAATAATGGTCAGTTCGCTTTTATTAAAGTGCTCGAAACTAGTTTCATTTTTAATGTAGTGCGACGTATTGGGGTCAGTTTAGCAGTTATTGAAGTGCCTCGTAACTTTATCCAACCACGAATTAGGACATTTATATATCTTTCCACCCTGTCTACAAATAAACCGAATCAAAATTATTTTTCACCACAGTTAAACAACAATGTACTACTTAGACGATGATGTTTTAGGGTTAATAGTAAAGAAACTGGCTGAGGATGACTCCTATCATCTTGGCCCATTATTCGCGCAGGAAAACGTGGAAGAGCCATCACGTTCACCGACGACGTGTTACGGTCTGCAGACATCTCTCGATTGGTTGAGTCATCGATCGACGTATCCCCTAACAACCCTTACCGCCCATTCTTTGAGCGTTGTCTTGGCGCCTACAATCCATGAGCTATTTATTTCGAAGCCATTATAGTTGTCGTGCGTGAGCGAAGATTGTATGCGATTACGATGCTTAACTAACTTGTCCCATGTGATAAACATGCTACTTTCGCATGTGCCATGTTTGAAATTTGCGTCGGACGGCCACGAAGGGAAGCTGCTAAACCCTAAACCTTAAACCTAAAAAACTCCTCACGTATGTATTCACTCTACATGTCCCATATGCGGCTAATGAAATGAAGCTGTTAGCGCACGATGTTATACGTCACTTATGGGAGTTCGCTCTAGGGCCGTTTCAAGATACGTGGGGTAGCATTTGGTCCTTCCCCATCACCCTACAAGAAGAACCTATATCGGAATGTGTAGATGAGCATTACGATGGCACAAATACACCAGACTGCGAGTATTGCCTTCTACAATGCAGGGCTCTGCGCATAAGATATTTTCTTTAATTTAGTTATTTTAATTGCAACTACTAGTTTAATTTTTGTAATAAATTAAAGGTAGAAAGTAAGTGAACATCACTTCACAAACTTATTGTAACAAGTAGCTACTAAGAACGTAACTAGTTGTAACAATGTAACTAGTAGTTTAATTTCTGTAGTTGTAAAAAAGTAAGTAAACATCACTTCACAAACTTATTGTAATATTACTTCTGTTCATCTACACATTAAACCCTGCAACTACTAATTGTCTTACCATTAACTATTTCTCAACAAGAACTACCCATCGAATTCAATATATAGTTTCATAAAATTGCGAAGAAAATTCACCCTACACAAACCCTATAACCTTCCCAAAAAATGCCAGATTTACCAGATCATGTTTTCGAAATCATTTTCAAGAAAGTAGCTGAGTCTGACTGCATCTACCTTGGACCGATTATTCTGGCAGGGACCCGTGGTAGAGACATTGTGTTTAGCGCGGAAGTACTCAGATCGGCATACCTATGGACATTGCATGACACACCATCTCGGATATACCCTGATGGAGTATATCGGCCTTTATTCCTGCGCTGCTTAGCATCGAGAAATCCACGGGCCATATTGGTCAAAGCTATAAGGTTCGTGTCAACAGAGGAGAAGATCTATACCGCGATCAGGATGCTAAATAAGCTCGTTCCATCAGACGTCTATGCCACTTACAGCTGTGCCATTTTGCAAATGTGCGTGGGGCGCCCTAACAGAGGGAAAAAACTTCTAAAGATGGTTTTCAGGTACCACTATCCTCATCATTCTCGTGAACTTCGTGAAGTCGCCGAAGATATAGTATCCTTATTCTGGTCATTTTGCCCACGTAATAAAGATACATACAAGAAAAAGTTCAGGTACCCTAGTCTCATTCATGAAGAAACCGACGCGTCGTGCGGAGTGTATCACGAGAATTTTCATTATATTGTTAAATGTGAAAAATGTATCTTACATGTTCGGCACAACGCATAGCATACATGCTTTAGTATCGATGTGGTATGGTCGCTTGTCGATTGTTTTTAAAAATATAATATTTCAAAAAACAGCCTTATGTCTAACAGCCTTATGTCTAAAAAGGTATATGATCCCGTATACCAATGTTGGTGGACGTATATAGGTGTACGTATACCATTGTTGGTGGACGTATATAGGTGTACGTATACGTATATAGGTGTAGGTATTCATCGTTCTTTAAAAATGTGTAATGTTATTTTATTTTCAAACAGCTTTATGTTTCCAATCTGTTTCTGATCCCGTATACGTAAGTAGGTGTACGTCTATAGGTATAGGTTAATAGGTGTACATAAATAATTAAAGTCAACGAGATAAAATATAGGTGTACATAAATAATTAAAGTCAACGAGATAAAATTTATGTGAATAGGTGTCAAACCACTTGCATTTCAAATTTTGTAAGGATCAATTATCCAAGCACTGTCATTTCAAACAAGCGTATGTCCAAGTACATCATAAAATATCCAACAACTTATTTAATTAACAATCCACTCTCATTTCAAAGTTTATTTTATTTTCAAACAGCTTTATGTTTCCAATCTGTTTCTGATCCCGTATACGTAAGTAGGTGTACGTCTATAGGTATACGTTAATAGGTGTACATAAATAATTAAAGTCAACGAGATAAAAATTTATGTAAATAGGTCTCCAACCCTGTTTATGATACGAACATAAGTATCATAAATATCATAAAAATCAACTACTAAGATAGATTATGTTTATATAAAAGTAAGAGTTGCAACTAAAAAACGAAAGTAGACATGCAAATGAAAAACATCCATTGTAGTTTGGAATACTAAGACAACATCAATAATTAAAGAGACACGAAATGCAACAAAACACTAAGATTACGGCTTTCACCAATCGAGCATCAACGGCCAGCTTGGAACGACGTTCCTAATGAAGCGGAAGAACTTTTGGGTCTTTTGGGCCCAGAAACAGGTTGTGCACTTTGGCTCCTTAAAATCTTCTGCAAACCACTGGAGCCAGTAATTGACAACCCCGCACTGACAGGTGTACAGCGCCTGGAATCTCGGATGAAAGCCAGCCGCATTCCAAGTGAAATCGACCGGCAAATCGAAATTCCATCTGTGTGGAACGTCGGCCAGCAACAACCGGCTCATCCTCCTCCGATTTTGCACCGTGAGCCTGCCCAAATACTCCCCTGCACGGACGAAGTCTTCCGGCACTGCTCTGAGCCACATCCCGTACACAAAAATGGCTCGGTCGTAGCCTCTCTCCGCAGCATCCCTTATCAATTCCACGCCTTCACCATCGTGGAACAAAAAGTAGGCTTGCATCCCCCTCTGGAAAATAACCCCTGGATTACCCGCGTCATAGAATCTCCTCATCATCGTTGGGTAATGTGGAACCGCCGCTTGTTCATGGACGATTTCGGCGGGATCAATCGCTTGATAGAAACCCCTGCTTGTGCCGATACGGTTGAAACGAGAACATACAGAACGGAGGCGGGCTATTTCCCTTAAAGATGGGTTTGTAGCGGCCAGAATTGGTTCCAGCAATTCATCAGGGAGTGAGAGAAGATGGGAAAAATCACCATCACCACCTCTGTTTCTCCTTGGAACCATCGTTTATTTCGATGAAAAGAGAAATGATAAGAAAAGGGATTGAGGAAGAAGAGAATGGATTGAAAATGGAATGAAAGAGGAAGTTATGATGGTTCTAAGTAGGACGTTACGGTGAAGGGATTGAATTTAAAGAGGTAGTGCGGTTTTAATAGAGCCGAATAGCTGTCTTTGAAGAGAGACTTTGAAAAGAGACGAAAATGTGTCTTTTCGTTTGCCGGCAAAATTAAATTACCACAATAAATACAGAGAATAACCAAATCCAAGCAAAATTCACCATTAAACTTTTTAATTTATGATATACCACAATACATTTATGATTTATGCCACAATACTATTATCATTTATGATTAAATCGAAATTTCAATAACAGCACAGACCTTTTTATATTTTGGAAACTATATTTTCTTGTCATCATTACAGTTTCAGTTTTCTCAACATCACGTTAACCGAAATATAGAGTACAGATTGAGTCCACATAGACGAAATCATGATTAGTTTTTAAATATGCGTACAGAAACAGGTAAGGTGATACTTTAAATAGATAATGTCGTTTGTATACCAAATCTTCTCCGAAAATTCCCACAAAAGAGATAATGTCGTTTGTATACTCAAAATATATAATATGTGATAAATGTCTTTAACATTCAGGTGTACAAATTTAGGTGTACATATTGAGTCCAGATTGAGGTGTTCTTTATTTTCTAGTTATTAGGCTTACAGAGAGAAGTAAACTGAGACTGTAAAGATATAAGAGTTAATGCTTCTCGAAAAACTGTCACAACCACCAACCGAAATTAATTAAAGTCAATACAACTAAAGTATACATAGATAGAAACAAAAACAAAGTATACATACATACATAGAAGGCGTAAATAAGTACGTGAACAGATCCTAAACAAAAGATTAAATCATAAAGTACGAAATAACAGCAAAAGATGCTAATTATATTGGTGTACACAACGCCAAGGTGTACACACCGAAACTGGTTGAGTTTCACCAATTAGTCACCATTTTTCCATTGACGGCCCTGACCTCACTACATACCAAACAAATACGAAGAACTTTTGCGTTTCCTGTGCCCAGAAACACGACGTGCACATGCTAGGCCCCTTTAACAATTCGTCATGCCAATCAAGTTGAGCATTGGCAACACCACAACGACAAGACCAAAGTTTCCCAAACTGAGCATTTGTTTCAAATCTCGTCCTCGAGAATTCTTCAGGCAAATTATTGACATAACCACGCTCACCTCCATCAATAATATTCTGAATTACTCTCCTCATTGCCCCTCTGCCTAGTTTTGAAAGATACTTTAAACCCACGGGGTCTTCGACCACTGCTTTCATGTACATCCCATACATGTAAACACCTGTTTCGTACCCCATATCTGCAGATTCCTTGATGAGTTTTATGCCACAATTGTCTCCACGGCAGAAGTAGTCTTGCATCCCCTTCTTGAACAGCAAACCCGGGTTGCGTGCGTTATACATCCTCCTCAATAAGTTGGGAAATTCCCAACTTGCGATAAAAGGCAAATCGAAGTCTTCGGGAATAGGCATCTCCAATTCCACGGGAACAACGGTTGCTAGAAAATTATTGGTTAAAGTACAGGCCTGGAACCGTTTGCAAACTTGCTTTAGTGTGCAAATTTGTCGGACGGAGTTGCAACTGTATGCGAAAACCTTCTCCAATAGTTCGTCGGGTAGCGCCATCAGAGGGGATCGACAATCACGGATATCTGCATCACATCGCCCTCTCTTTGGTGTTATTGTAAATTTGTGAGGTTGATTTGTGAAGAAAACGGTTGTTTATGGAGATGGAATAAGTGCGGTTTAGGATTTGTGAGAAAAACGGTTGTTTATGTTGCATATATATAATTATTAATAATTCACACTAACTGAGAGTATACATTAAATGCGGCTACCGTTAAGATTGTAAATGAGTTTGTAAATTTGGTGGCTAAACCAAAATTTTCTTGTTGTACACCCATTTGATGTACACCTAAATGCATATTGGTGTACGGATACCAAATTATTCCGGGAATATAGTTTTGACACACCAATTAATAAATACTAAAGTATAAGCATATAAATTATCAAATGTACCCACATCGTAAACATTATCAAACACATAATCCAACAAATACACCTTTCATAAACTGTCAAGCTCAACATTAAAGTTCACCATTCGTCCTAAGCGTTGGCAACACCCGGATTCCCAACAAACTTTTCGTATGAGTCCATGGCGTATTTCTCCCATTAACCTGTCAACGTCATCGTCCGTTATCAAACCCATATCCTCCACTCCAAGCCCTGCAGCATGCATCTCTAAGAATTCGGCCGCACATGGACCACAGTCACCGGATCTCGCGTTCTGATATATTCCCTCCGAATGACTCCATGTATAAGGGGTGGTGCGTAGGCCTTCCGTTAATTTGCTATTCAAATAACGCTTCAATATAAATGGCATACTTTGACACACGGGCGCCATATACTGCTCCACAGCCGCTTCATCATTATGACTGATGAATGAGTCCAAAATCTTTATGTTGCCCATTTTAAAGTCAATTACAAGGCCCACCCAATGCTCAGACCCCCAGTTCATCGGGACGTAGACAACGTCCACAAACCGTAGAAACATTTGTCTCTGACGCTGATTAGCCCACTTTGCAGGTTTTCCCAATACAATGCCCTGAATGGTTTTCCCCCAGTCATACTGATTTTTGTCTCTAGAAATGAAACCGTTGAAGTAGTTGCCGATGATGGATATGAACAAGGTGTCTACAAATGCTACCCTGTCTTTCAAGTATACTTCACCTCTACGTCTCCAAATCATGGCCATTATGACTTGCATGTGCTGACGAATAACAAAAAATAAATAACAGAATAAGGATACTATATCTTCGGCGACTCAGTAGGTACTAACTATATACTTACCATCGTGTTAACCCACTCAGTAGGCTTCGCAGTTTGTAGGAAGAATTGATTGTTCACAATATGACCAGTGACAATGCAAAAGTCGCTGTAATGAGAGCAATTGGTAATTGATAACAATGAAAGTTTAAGGATAAATTGCTTTGCATACGATATAACTTACATGTTCCTTTCACGCGATAATAACTCATGGAATGCCTTGAACTGGTATTGTTCCACTGTTTCGAGTGGTTTGTATGCAGCTTTCGATCTGGATACAAATAGAGCTTTCACCTTTGAATCTGCGGTGTAAATATCTCGAATCTTGTCCGACCGTACGCGTGCGCGTTTTCCTCTACCTCTTCCTCCTCTTCCTGTTCCTCTACCTCTTCCTCCTCTTCCTGTTCCTCTACTTTTTCTCTTTACACCAAACGATCCCTCAACTTCTTGTGGGGTTTTGGAGTACAAGGGGTCTTCTGCGAAGCATCACTTGCATCCTCAGGCGCAGTATGGTAATCTTTCGCCGCATTTTAGTCCTCCTCATTAGCCACAGCCTACAAACCACCGTAACAATAAATCGTATAACATATCAATCGTATACCTAGCGTATACCTAAAGAGTACTGTATACACATGCATATCATATGAACAAGTTTAATGTCTGACCTGTGCATCCTCTGCATCTGTCTGCGCTTCATTTTTCTTATATGCGTAGCTCAATGGGTGAGCAGTCTGAGGTTTGTAGACTACTAAGGTGCCTGACCCCAAATTTGTTCGACCACCATCCACCTGAATAAGTCATAAAAAAAATTGCATAGTACACACCCGTTATGAAACTTAATAGAGTCAGCTGCTGACTAAACAATTAGCTCACCTCGTTGGGGGCAGAAGGTGGATCTTCATCCGGATTGACAAAGTAAGGAGGTGGACGAGTTGTTCCTGAATTGGCTTGTTCAGGTTCAGGGGTCTTCATCGGAGCTTCTGGAGTCTTCAAGTACGCATGGTCCCTGGGAGAATAATGGTCCCCGCCGTAGTAAGTAGAGGTCCCTTCTTCATCATCTCTTTCTTTCTGGTGTACACCACCTTGGGGGTGTACACCATCATCATGGCGTACGCTAGACTGTGCACCATCATCACCTCCTTCTTCACCTCCATCTTCGTCTTCTTCTTCATCTCCAACCGGTTTTTCACCACCTTTTTTGGATTCTGTCCTTCGTCATCCTGTTCCCCATCTTCTTTTGACTGGTGTACATCATCATCTTCTTCGTCCTGTTGGTATACGCCCAATCTCTTGTCCAACTCTGTCTTAATCTTACGAAGGAGCAATTCATTCTGACTTACTATCCATCTTTTAAGATCTGCAATCTGTCCACTTTCAGGGCTTTCATCTTCCTATAGATTAGAAGAGTTCTTGCCCCTTCCTCTTTTCCTCTGCATCTTACGTTTTTCAGTTTGATGAGTTTTCAGTTTCTTCTTCGGTCGGGTGGATGGCTCCAGTTCCTGGTCATTGGTAACCTCGTCCTCTGCATCACTAAGATTCACGATAGGTGCCGGTGCCACAGCAAAATTCGAAGGTGTGAACTTGTACCCCTCGGCCATGAGTTCCTGCATGAATGCAACTTCGTCATCCTCTACCTCATCTCCCCAACGCAATTCATTATGTTGGTCATTGTCACCATCATTCACTACCATCTGTTTCACAGACAACTAAGACAAAAAAAAACAATTGCAAAATTACCAACACAATCACAGAGTACTTTTCTTATAAGACAAGTACTACAAAATAAGACTAAATATAATACTACAAATAATTTACCAGAGGGTCGGATTCCACGGCAAGTATGTCCCCAAGATGCAATAATGTGATAACGTTTTGACAACCTTCGGGATCTTCAATGAAAGTCTTCAAGTTATCAGGTTAAGGAATTTTGGAAACCAACATTGGTATAGATTGGAGGGGCATGAGTTGTAGTGATAGAGGGAATCCGTAGCATGCACTGGTTTACTGTTTAAGTTGACGACGCAATCGTGTTAAAGGATTCTCCTTTTTCTCGGCATCCGTGATTACCTTCGGAGCTTGAAAACGAGATACTGTTTTGTTAAAGGATACCCTCCCCCATGGATACAGCATGAACCTATCCAAGTCAGTCAACATGTCAACGTATTTCTCGGTGAGGGCCAGATTTTTGCTATTGCAAAAGAGAACACTGTCGACAAGAACGATTAGGGCCAATGGTAGCCGTTTCCATTGGGGTAGATCCGGGTCCTTTAGCATTTCAAGCACATCAAACACGTTCATAGCGGTCGCTCTTCCAAACAGGTCTTTCCAAATTCCTGTCTTTCCAACATCTTCTTCTTCTTTTGTGCTATCAGGTTCGGGATTGCAATTCAATCGAGTGATTTCCTTAAACTCCCGTATCGAATATCTGAGAGGCTGTCCACCAAAGAGGAACCAAATCTCGTGTTTCTTCGTGGTCACAAGTTGTCGTGATAGAAGGGCATGGACTAGTTTTGCGCTGTTGCAAAATCTTGCAACAGGTAGATGGAATAACTTCCCAAACTGGGAATGAAGTAGCTTCTCAAGATCTTCAGTACCCTTTAACGCCTCAACAAGGAGGCCAATGACATTGGCCTTTGAATATATGTTCAACCGAGCACCAACGGGGTAGCAACCATCGCCGAGGACCCTTTTTGGTAGTTTTTCCGAAAGGTTATTTGAACCTTCTCCATCTTCCATGCCTCTATTTGAAGCTTCTCCGTCTTCCATTCCTGTATTTGAACCAAAACAACAAATCCGAAATGCAGGAAAGATATAATATTCTGGAGAAACAGTTAAATGCAAACCAGGGAAAAATTTTGAGGGAAAGGAGTTCGAAGGAGAGAACAGAGATCTGGAAAAACTACCTTATTCGTATTGATATGATCGTGACCAGCTCAGAGGAGGAGGAACCAGAGGTAGCTGGCAGGATCACTCGTTCCAGAGCTAGAGAGATGGCTAAGGAGGCTCACGCACTCATTGCCACAGAGGACAGCGATCACCAGGAGGCTGGAGTTCACATCTTCAACATCTCTATCTTGAAGAATGAAGAACCCAGTAACAATGACTAGGTAACTTAGGTGATGATTCTGTACTCTTTTCCTTGGTGAGGATTTTGGAAGGCAAGGAGGTTCTTCTCCAAGGTTTTTAACGAGACAGAAATCATTGCTACGTCGAGTTACTTAGAAGTTGTTACTAATGGGTAATAACGTGCAAAGTCACAATGACTTGTGCACTAGTTGTTTTAGGCGCACCACTTAGGTTTAGAAGGGACGCCTCGCTGTTTTATTTTTAAATTAAACTTCTTGTTGTTTTATTTCAAACTCCATGTTGTTTTGTTATTAGGGCTGCGATTTTCTCTCTTAGTCTATAAAAAAGAGAAAATCGCCTAAGTCATATTCAGTGAAGAATTTTGATCAAACTTTTAACGTGTTCTTCTCTCTTTGATTTCTGAGAACTAAAAACTCTGAAATTCGAATCTCTTAAAAACTAATTCCGTTTACAAGAGATTCTTCTATCTTATCATCTCATCATCACCACACCAACAATCGATCATCTTCTCATCCTCCACCATATCCATCGATCCGCCGAGCCACCATCATCACCATCGATCCGCCACACCACCATCGCACATCCACGATTCGATCTGCCGAGTCTCCACCATCATCTCTCATCATCGCGAGCCATCCTCGTATCACTACCACCATCCTTTTCGCTTCATCGTTTCAGTCTATCCACCATATCGCCGCATCTATTGTTCTTTGCTTCAGAGTAGATCACCTTGGATCGTATCACGTGGTATCAGAGCCAACTCTGAACCAAAGGCTGAGAAATCTCTAACCCTAAAATCGCCATACTTGATTTGATTCCTTGTTCTGATTTCGCTGCTTAGATCATTAGGGTTTGACGACTTCTAGTGATTATTTGCATCGTGTGTCTTCTGCTTCATTGAATCATCATATCGTTGTTAAATATTGCTTCAAATCGAGTTTGCGAGATCGTGTTAGGGTTCGTTAATTTTCGATTTGGTTAAGTTTGATATTTCGTGTTCATCGTATTCGTTAGGTCTGGTACATCGAGTTTAGGGCTTTGATTGTTCTCGTTTTCGTTAAACTTGATATTTAGTTGCTTCGTTTTTGTTAGGTTTTGTTAGAGAGTCTAGTATTTTCGTCTTCGTTTAGGTCTATTAAGTGAGTCTTCGTTTTTCTTCGTTCGTTTGATTAAAAAAAAAAAAAAAAAAAAAAAAATTTCGTTAAATTTCATTAGTTTCGTTAAGTTTGTTTTTAGATTTCGTGGGGATCTTTTAATTTCTTTTTATGATGCGTTTAGTTTTGCTGTTTTTGTGATTCCTTCTAGAACAAGTTACTGCGAGTTTTTTTTAAATTTTCAGGTACCATGGAGCTTTCGGCTGAGGCGATGGAAGCTCTGAACCGAGCAATGTCTCAACAAATTAAAGAAGCGAATCAGGCCATAGCAACTCAGCTCACACAACAAATCGAACAACTCAATGACAAGTTCGAGACGAAGATGACTGATCTGCTCAAAGACCTCAGTGCAAGTGGAGAAGAGTCGTCTCAAACTCCAACTCCTTCGGAAGCAATGCGCTTAGCAAAGGGTAAAGGGCACATAGGATCTTCCCGGAAACTTCCACGCCACCCAACACCTTCCGAAGCCAGGACTAAAGCTAAGTCCAGTCGAAGCCAGATTGGGGGCAGAGAGACTACGTTTAATCCGAGGAGAAATCCTACTGGTGCAGAACGAGATGGCCCAAGGGTAGATCGTCAGCACCGCCGAGAGGAATATATTGCTGGGCATCGAGTTACCCTGGAATCAGATCCAGAATACTATGAGGAGGACGAAGCTTCTGATCATAGCAGAGAAACTGTGAGACGAGATCGAGGCCGAGGACATGCCCGAGATTATGATCCTCTACGTCAGCAGCTGCGTCATATCAAAATCCAGTATCCTCCTTTCCATGGAACCAATGATCCCGAAGCTTATCTAGATTGGGAAAGGAAGATGGAGTCTAATTTTCTGGTCCAAGGAACTTATGAGCTCAACATTGTGAAGATTGCAGTTTCAGAATTTCATGGGTACGCGCTTCTATGGTGGGAGCAGTTGGGAGTCACCAGAAATCGCCTGAGGGAACTTCCGATTACTACTTGGGATCAGCTTGTTATACAGATGAGGAAGCGGTTCGTTCCAGCCCATCATCAGCGCGAGATACTCAACAAACTTAGGCGCCTTGTCCAAGGTACGAAGTCTGTTCGAGATTATTATCAAGAATTGGAAACTTTGCTCATTCGTGCAGATTTACGAGAAGGCGAAGAGATGGTAATGTCGAGATTTCTTGGAGGACTTAACCGAGAAATTCAAGACAAGGTGGAACTTCAGGATTTCGCAGATATACAAGAGATGGTGCATAAGGCTGAATTGGTGGAATCTCAAGTCAAGAGGCGAAATTTCAAGTCCACATTTACGCCTAGTGTGCCGAAGCCTAAGGAGATCAGCAAGCCAGCTTACTCCAGAGACATCAAACCACCCTCCACTGGACTTAAAGAAGAAGCTAAAGCTGAGTTCAAACCAAGAAGTGGTACTTCTATCAGCAATGTGAGGTGTTTCAAATGTCAAGGAATGGGACATTACTCTCGAGATTGCCCAAACAAGAAGGTCTTCTTGTTACAAGAGGGAGGAGAGATAGTTCCTCAAGAGGATTCAGAGGCCGAATATGAATTAGAGGAAGAGGAAGAAGCTGCTGCTGTGGGCGAGATGCTGGTTGCCAGAAGGACTTTGAGTGTTCAGAGTCAACCTGAAGAGCCTTGTTAGCGAGAGAACCTGTTCCATACGAGATGCTTCATTCAAGGAAAAGTTTGTAGCCTGATCATAGATGGAGGAAGTTGTACTAATGCTGCAAGCGAAGAGATGGTTAAGAAGCTCCAGCTCAAGACTATTCCTCATCCAAGGCCGTATAAGCTTCAGTGGTTGAATGACAGTGGAGCCTTGACCGTATCTCAGCAAGTGATGGTTTCTCTATCCATTGGGAAGTATGAAGATGAGATTCTATGTGACGTCATTCCCATGGGTTCGAGTCATGTGTTGCTAGGCAGACCGTGGCAATCAGATCGTAGGGTGATACACGACGGTTACACCAACAAGCACTCATTCGAGTTCAAAGGTCGCAAAATTACCCTCCTACCTCTCACGCCTACCGAGATTTATCAAGATCAAGTTCAAATGAAGCTCAAGGAGAAGGAGAAAGTCGCCAACAGCCTCTACATAAACCACAGTGAATTTTCTAAACTCTTTGATCCTGAAATGACTACTTTTATGTTTGTGTACAAGGAATCCCTTGTTAGTACTAACCCTTCACAGGAGCTTCCTAGTGCTATGTTTGAGATTTTGCAGGAATACAAGGACGTCTTTCCAGTAGAAATTCCACCAGGGCTACCTCCAATTCGCGGGATAGAGCATCAGATTGACTTGGTACCAGGATCAGCCTTACCTAACAGGCCAGCATACCGAACCAACCCTGTAGAGACTAAGGAGCTGCAAAAGCAAGTGGAGGAGCTGATGAGCAAAGGCCATATCCGAGAAAGCTTGAGTCCATGTGCAGTTCCAGTTCTGTTGGTGCCAAAGAAGGATGGTTCCTGGAGGATGTGTGTAGACTGCCGAGCTATCAACAACATCACTGTGAAGTATCGGCATCCGATCCCAAGGCTAGATGATATGCTGGATGAGCTCTGTGGGTCGACAATCTTCTCTAAGATCGACTTGAAGAGTGGATATCATCAGATCAGAATGAAGGAAGGGGATGAGTGGAAAACGGCATTCAAGACAAAGCAGGGACTCTACGAGTGGCTAGTTATGCCGTTTGGCCTCACCAATGCTCCCAGCACCTTCATGAGACTAATGAACCATGCCCTGAGACCATTCATTGGCGTGTTCGTAGTGGTTTATTTCGATGATATCCTCATCTACAGTAAAGGTTTGGAAGAACATCTAGATCACATCAGATCGGTTCTTGATGTTCTTCGCTCTCAATCTCTCTTTGCTAATTTATCTAAATGTTCATTCTGCACTAACGAGATTGTTTTCTTAGGCTTTGTAGTAAGTGCAGGAGGAGTTAAAGTAGATGAAGAGAAGATAAAAGCTATCAAGGAGTGGCCAACCCCCAAGAATATTGGAGAAGTCCGAAGTTTCCATGGCTTAGCAGGATTCTACAGGCGTTTTGTTCGTGATTTCAGCACCATAGCCGCGCCTTTAACCGAAGTAATCAAGAAAGACGTGGGGTTCAAGTGGGGAGAGACGCAAGAACAGGCTTTTACAGCCCTTAAAGAGAAGCTTATCAATTCGCCCTTACTAGTACTTCCTGATTTTACTAAGACTTTTGAGATTGAATGCGATGCTTCTGGTGTAGGTATTGGAGCAGTTCTTATGCAGGATAAGAAGCCCGTCGCTTACTTCAGCGAAAAGTTAGGAGGATCAACGCTGAATTATCCCACGTATGACAAGGAGTTATACGCATTGGTTCGAGCTCTCCAGACGTGGCAGCATTACTTATGGCCTAAGGAATTCGTCATTCATACCGATCACGAGTCTCTAAAGCACCTCAAGGGTCAGCAGAAACTTAACAAAAGACATGGGCGATGGATGGAGTTCATTGAGACATTCCCCTACATTGTTAAGTACAAAAAAGGTAAAGATAATGTGGTCGCAGACGCATTATCCCG